AATTTGATGTAGATACGAAAAAAAATTTTTTAAACACTGTGCAAATGCTTTCATTTTTATTTTTACTTTAACCCAGATTAATATGCAAAATTGGGATGCCATTTGCAGAGTTGTTGGCATCAGTTCATCATATTTCTAGGTGAAGTATGTGAAAGTGATTATAGATAATAAATATCTTTTTTTTAAAACTTATTGCAGAGGCAGTTTTTCCACTGTTAATGAGGGTAATTTGACTTGGTTGAAGGATTGCAGTTCTTAAGAATTAATGCAGTAATCCAATTCAAAGATTTAAAGAGATCTAAGATTTTTCACAGGTCGCATGCTAGTGAATGTGCTCCTATCACATAGCAGCTAATGGACTTGAACGCCAGTCTGTCATTTACTGTTCCCTTACTGCATAGCAGCTTTGCCCTTGGTAGTGAGTATACTTTCCAAGCACTGCAAGTTATTTAGATGTGTGGTATATTTGTAACACTTTGGAGAGATAGTATCCTTTTTCCTGTAGCCCCTAATTACTATAAAATCTGGGGTTATCTTTGTTAATTACATGTTTGAATCCTAATCTGTGAAGGTCTGAAGAATATCAGGCTCCGAGGAACTGCCTTCCTGCCTTGCTTTGTCAGATGAGGTCCTTTTTTTTTAATGTATTTTTAAAAACTAATTCATGTATCATTGTGTTCCTATATATAGGTTAATTCACATGAATACAAAGGTTACATACTTCGTTTTCATAATTTTCCATTTTTGATAATGATGTATTATTAGCAGCTAACAATATTTTTGAAAGGCTTATTTGTAAAAGATGTTAGAAATGCTCTCATTTCCCAATCCCATTATGTTCCCAAATATTAAAAATCCCATTTTGAGGCAATTAGAAGCATGCACGTCTATCCACATGCGTTCTTCAGACAGTGTCACTGTGCTGTGCTCACAGAAACCTTTGTTCCTTAATTAGAAAAAGGACTAGTGCTCATTAATTGTGATTCCAAATGGTGTCTGCTGGAACATCGAGGCAAAAATACATTACAAGACGAGATCAGCCTAAATCTAGGCAGCTACATGCTATTTGGAGGATGTGAAAAGACAGATAAATCACTGAGGGTCCCTTGTAGGGCCATGTTGGTGTCCTGAACTGTCCTTGAGGACATGGCTGGCTGTTCATCAATTTTGAAACCAAAGGACTTTCTGTACTGCCAGGAGGAGGGTCAGGTAAAGGGACAACTTATAGAGAAATCTAGAACTTCTCTTGGGTTGAAAATTCACAATATTCTAGGTAGACACCATCTGGATGCATGTAGAGGTCACTGAGTGGTGAATTGTTGGCAAACCTAATAGAAGACAGATATCCCAATGTTTTATAGGTCAAGTTTTACTGCTGACATTGGGCAGGGGAGGAATTGCAACAGTTTTGAAAGCTAAAACTTCCAAACTGGATTGGCAAAGGCTTAGGCAGCATCAGTTACCAACAAAGAACCCTAATTTCCACAATAAGAACAGGCATTTCTTCAGCCTGCAATCTTCATGTATCTAGTATTTGTAGAAATAAAATGTTCATGGCAGCCCGTCTCACTGATTAAGATCGAGGCTCCACAGGCAAAGATGTGAGCACCTTGAATGAAAAGAATCTCTTCAGTCTATATTGCGTGGGTAATATTTTCCCGTGACGTGGCTGAGCTGGCAAGGAAGCACTGAAATAAGGGGCTATGAAGAATGGAACGAAATGTTAGTGTGAAAGGCAAAGATTGGAAAGCAGATCAGTGAATTTGAGCATCAGTTTGTTTCTCTCAAGCAGGGTTTATATCCCTCAGGTAGCTAAGAACATAGGGGCCCTGAGGCCAGTCTGAGCTCCTCTTCCATCACCCTGCTCACCACCTCCCTCCTTTCTTGCCTTCTCATTCCACCCCTGCCAAAGGATAAATTGCCCTTATCCTGCTAATGCTAATGGAAGACATTATTAACAAAAGGGAGGCCTTCATAAAGGAAGCAGAGGTCTGGCGTTGGAGGCATGACACCCTCATGCTGATAGTGGTATATGGGTCAGAAGCTGAACATGGAAACAAATAGTACTTCCCTCATGAGATGGCCTGCGATATTAAGGAGACTTGTCTAGCTAGCTGTATATTTTTTTCTAACAGTCATCTTTTTTTTTTAATGTTGTATTTCTCAGAGGAAGAAAAATAGATTTTAAAATGTAAAAACCTGTTCTTCAATTGAGTATGCAAAAATCTCATTGCAGTATTTATTCCAAACCTGCTCTCATAATGTTCACTCAAGGAGAAAACAGCAAAAAACAGTTGTTGATGGACTTAGCACAGAACTGGATTAAATAAGCATTAGTCTACTGAAGCTGATTACAGGAATATGAAAATGCAGTATCTTAATGGTACATATTTTTATGTGGCAGCTCAGTTGCCTTTCATTTTGCAGCTAATATGTCTATTCTTATGAGTCATTTACTTCTTTAATTACCTTTTGCAGGCAAGGCACCATGGTATATTAATGTGAATGATTTTTACTGCCAGTTTATCATACAATGCCCCAGAAGTTGAAAGGCGTAATTGACTTGGAAGAACAGCTCATGAAGGAAACAATATTTAGTTGACAGTTTTCCTTGTACTCTCTGTTGACGTTTATGAGTTTACACTATGCTAAAGGAGTAATAAACACAATTTTCTTTCAATAACAGGAAAGGATAGCTTCTAAAATACATTTGTGGAAAACACATTTGTTCATTTCTTGAATAATATGAAAATAACACATTTCCAGTGATAAGACCTCTCACATTGCCAATTGAATTAAACCTTTGAAGGTGCATTTATAACCTGTCTCAGAGCATTAGGAGATACTAGGATTCATGTGATTGAATCAGTTTAATGAATATTTAAATTATATACAGATTTGAGTAAGTCATATTTAAATCTAGGTGCTAGGGTGAGATTATTTGGTGGAATCCTCTCAACTTCCTGGTGAAAGGGAAACAGAAAGAGAGCTTGGGAATTTTGGAATTGTCTGGAGGAAGATTTTTCCTCTACAAAAGGAGGGAAAGTCTGTCAGTACATTTTGGGAAAATAAAATAAAGAAAGCACAGTCCACACAACTCCTTATAAGGCCTGGTCTCTGAACAGTTAAAGTAAAGCCCTGGGTGGGTCGCTGCTGCTTTGGAATCTGGAATGGTGCCTGACTTGAACTTGACAAGGGCAGTTTTGCTTTAACCATCAGTTCTGCAGGCCTCTTCACCCCCATCTGGTCCACTGGCTCTGGGCAGGCCCTGGTTTGGTTGAGAGGGAGTTAAACTTTTCACAGTTTTCTGGATTGTTTGCAGTTCAGTCCTGTGCAACATAATGAAAGTTTTCAAGCCATCTGTTGTTAAGCTAGTGGTGAGCAAGGCCAGTATATCCAAACAAAGTTCTGCCTGCTGTAAACTGAACCTGCCAGTTTAGCAGAGCTCCGCTGACCCCTCCAGTGAACGGGGCAACCCTTGGTACCAGGCACTCATTGCTGAGAGCTTTCCAAGGGGAACTATTTGGGTAAAGGGGTGGGGGCCTGTTTACTTTTCCCCTCTATGTTCCTCTTACTGGCTTGGACTAGTTTATACTTAATCTTTAAATGGATACTTGTCCCCCTCCTTTTTCAAAGGAGGGGCATTACTTCTTTAATAGGAGACTGTAACTTTTGGGAAAAGGACTAAATGTCTGTGAATGTGTGTGAAGAGGCTGTAGTTCGAGAGTGTAATCTGTGCGGGTATTTTTTGTTTTGTTTTTATTATTTTGCTCCTCAGTGTTTAGGGACAAATAGTTTGGGCAGAGGAACTCCTCAATTTGTTATTTAGCTTATATAATTTTTTTCATAGCTTTAAAAAGACTTTCCACTTTGTTCCTACAATTTGTATTTCATCATTAGAAGCTGATATTCTAACTAACTTAGCAGAGCAACAGTTAGAGAATGCTTTCTGTTGTTTGGAGTATTACCTGATCCTCTGTTTTCCTTTATGAGGTATATCTACTGCCTTAAATTGCGCAGCTTAACCTTAAAATTGTTTCATTATTTTTTGGTATTTTTCTCTTCTGTAATAGTGTTTCCTTGGCTATACATGCCTAAAATATTCATATTATATACATATATATCTCCTACCTAAGAAATATGTATAAATATCAATGAATATATTATATATATATTTTATCTATGTGTATGAATGTATATGTTAATAAAATGTAATTGTATTTTATATGCATCTATCAATATCTTTCTAGACCTGCCCCTGCCTAACCATAGTGGGCTTCTTTTTGGAGATCATACTTTATAAGTGTCTTGGTATTTTTATCTTGACTCTGCTGCCATATATTTCCTATCCAGCACTGGTCACATTAAAAGAGAGCCACGGAGATCTACCGTAGAACCTCTGTGTCTGTTCCTTGTCATCAAAATATCCAGGACCAGTGGCCACTGTCATTGGATAACTGTTGCAGTCATTGTCTAGGACATTGTAGCTCCTCCAAGTGAGAAACAGACCACAGTCCAGCAGGACAACGAAAAATAAAAACAGGAACAGGGTGTGTATTTGTCTAAACTCCCAACACAAGAGTGTCTGGACTCAGCTTTAACTGTGTCCAAGGGTTGTACCAGAGGCAGAAATTCTATAAATGAGGGTGACAGCCACACACTTTCCCCACTAAGGGACAGGGAGTAGTATTACACCAGTGAGAAGTACTCAATTTAAAGTTTATATGAATGCACTTTCTTAGAAATACCATAGAGTCATAGTCTTGTTTTTAAGGTGACTGACATATAAAGTGCTTTTTTGTTTCAAACTTGAAACAAAAAACATATTCCAGTAGTTTTGGGTGTAAATGTCAGGTGCAGTGTAATGCATACTCAATCCAAGAGTCAAATAAATAACCTTGCTGTGTAGGACACTGCGTTTTAGAACATGAAATTGTTTTTGTTGTGTCCTTTTTTTTTTTTTTTTAAGTAAGACTGCATTAAGAGGTCACCTATTAGCTGTGTTTTTGCTGTCTTAAACTCGGCCCTTCTGTCTATTAAAATCAAACCACTGTGTAAACATTCCAGTGTTGTTCTTGGTCTCTACAATGGCCACAGGGATCAGATTTCACCTGCCTGCACATCTTCAAGCAATTAGAGCAATTAGCGTGAAGCCATTTCACATTCAAGGATTCAAGGTCTATGGTGACATTCAAGTCCAGGAGAAGTCTGAAAGGAAGAGAGAGGAAGGGGCCTGGAGCATGGCTACTATTCCATTGCCCAGAGCAGACATTTTCTCCTTTAAACATGGTAGCTCTTTAATGATGTTATTATGAGATCTTAAAATGACATATCAAAAGTTGTTTATATCAAAAAAACCACCCCAATGGTCATTTAATTACACTAATGAAGTCCTTTATATGCAGCAGATTTTTTTTAAAGGACTTGTAGTGCCTTGTGAAATAGAGTATTGCTGCCCCTGGCATCATGGTGGCAGTGGCAGCATTCTTTGTAGAGGAAGCATGTTTTATAATGTACAAGGGAATTTGCATTTTGCTCTTATGGTAAACTTTCCTGTTTGGGGTAAATGTAACAATTACAGCAATGGAATATTGAAGTTGGGAGATTTGGGGAGTAAGTGTTGAAAGCAACTATATTGCTTTTTTTAGAGAATTGTGGTAATTTAACAGATTGAACGGGTACAGTTTAAACAAAATCATCAACTGTAGCACATCACATTGCTGTATAGGCGGGACAGAAGGTGACTTTTAAAAAACATGGCTTAGAATCTAGTGGGGTGTTTGTTTTTTGTTTGTTTGGTTATTTTTTTAACATTTGTAATTTGGTTACCCAGGAATTTTGTTTGCAAAAGACAAACCCTAAACTGATAACAGCTTTTAAAATGGAGATGCACATTTTAAAATCCATATTTCTCTGTTGTTTTAGCATGAAAAAGAAAGAAAAGAAGGGAGCACTAATTTTAAAAATCTCAGCACACTACAAAACAGCTCTTCCTTTGCAGTCCCAGAAGGTGTTCACAATCAAGAATAATCGCAGGCTAAATTATAATGTGGAATTCCTGTGTCCTTTAACCTGATGCTGCCTGTGTATATTTTGTGTTTAACAAACAGCTCTAAGTGTAAAATTATTCCAAGAATTACTTTTGTTTCATTGTACATTTTGATTTTAGTTAAAATAAGAGGCTTTATTTAAAATTAAATTGTATGATTCTCTGAAAGCTCTTGCCATAATTCCTTTAAGGAACTGCCCTAGTTGGCTTAAAAGCTGGTAGGTGTAGAGGCTTGACATATCTGTAGTATGAACAAATCTGTCTGTGATGGCGGCGGGAGCATTTGTGTTCATTCATTGAATCTGTGGGCTGCTTAGTGCTCTCTATCCCTGTCTTGAAGGCCTCAGAGCTCTGCTGTTGAGAGGTGCTCTTCCTGGCCACCCAGTTCCTCGCCTGTGTGCCCAGACTGTGTGCCTTCTAACAGTGCGTTACACAGTAGAGGCAGAGCATGCCAGTAAAGGCAGCATGTGGGATGTGAGCCAGCATCCGCTACCTTTCCCTCTGCCCCTTGAAAAGGACTGTAGGAAATCATTTGCTCATCTTTAACTGGATCACCTGAGTTAGAGAGAGGACTATTTGCATTGGATACTCCACCCCTGCAGGAAGTGGAGTGGCAGGCCTGGAGGCTCAGGGAGGCTGGGAAGGGAGGTGAGGCAGCAAACCAGATCCTTCCCGTTTTTTTCCCCTAGCCTTGTCCTCTGTGTCTATGATCTGCCTTTTGAACTGTTTTTGTGGCTGATCAGTTCCACCTAATATGTCTCTTGATTTCTGCTATTGTAATACTCAGGCGACATGCTGTTCTCTTCATTTTTATAAGCTTTAGATGCTTCTGCCTGTCATATTCTGGCGGTTTATCTTCAGCGTCTGGATTTGCTTTCAGACTTGAATGTCTATCACGCTGCCGTTGCTTTGAATGTGAGATCAAAAGAAGATGAATTCCAGTAAAAAATTTCCTTCTATGAAGAAAAGATTGGGGCCTATGTAAACAGCCCACTGACAGCTCCCAATGACTTATTTTAGCCAAGTATTAGCACCTGCATGACAGACGGTCCAGCATTCCACGCTCAATAACAAATCAGTTGCTTCCCTGGCAGAAGAACAGTACCCTGCCACAGCAGCAGTGCGTTTTCAGGGGTAATAGTTTTATACCTCCTTTTTTTAAAATTGGTTTGGGGTGGGTTAAATAGTGTTCAAGTAGACAAGCTAGGCACCTTGAGATAAACTGGTAGTTTAGCTGATTGCAGGGAAGGAAAATGTAAGAAAAAGCAACAAAAGCAAGATCAAGGGCACATCCCTGGAATGCGGGATGATGTGTTCTTTAAAAATACATGTGACAAAATCCTCTCAAGTCTGCAAAATCTGAGTTTTCTTTCTCTTTCTTTCTTTCTTTCTTTTTTTTAAAGCATCCTGCCTATGTAAATGTCACTACAAAAATATCTCAAGAGCAGGTTTCCCAAAACCCTGTTGGCGTGTGTTTGTCTGCATGCAGGGGCTCTCTGGCTAGGACTTGGTCTAGCCAGGGCATACTTTGCTGTGTGGCTGCTTGCAGACCTGGAGTGATTTAGATACGTGTCGCATTAATAGATTCCTTTAACTGCTAAATGCAACTTTGAAAATTACCTGCAAGCTCCAACTGATCTCTTTCAACTTTGAAAGTGAAGAATTACTTGAGGAATTCTTGTGGTTTCTTTGTCATTTAGTGAGCATCCAGCCAGCTACTGTGGAGGCAAACCTCTGTGAGCTTGTCTACAAAGGGCAATGTTCCAGTGTGTTTTCTCCTCGAGTGTGCTTCAGCCGCTCAGCACTTCCTGTTTATTCAAACATCTTTTTTACCACTCGGCAACCCCCGCTTCACAGAAACAGCCAGAACCCATCTACAGCAAGAAGACGGAAATCCAAAGGCAGACAGTACAAGCTCACTCCATCAAACTCTTCGTTTTCTCTGTAAGTGTCCAGAGAAAAAGAAACATTTTCACTGGGTTAAACTTTTAAACTCGGGATCTGTGCTTGTGCAGGCGTTTCTGTGAAGGGCAAAATAAGATGCTCTAACTTGTTTACTGCTTGTTCGCTATTTCCCCCCCTTCTCTCCATCAAAGCTTTTATTGTTTTAGAGATTTGAGAGGACTGGCTCCTACTAACTGCTTGTTAATTCGCTCTTGCTTTCCTCTGTGTCTTTGGATATAATCAGCTAAGTAGCAGCCATGTGTTGTCAGGAGAGTTTTATAGACTGAACACAGATTAGAACCTTCTCTCCGCTTACTGTGGGATTGTTTTGTGTTGCCTTCTTTCTGTTCCTGTTATCATGGGTAGTCAGAGAACCCGGGAATGATCCCTGTATAATTCTGCCTCAACAGAATTGTCCTCTGATACTGCATCATGACACTGTCATCATTTGTGACTTGGTCTTGATAATATTTGTACCAATTTCATGCCAATAAAAGTCAGACTGCTGAAAAAAGCACGGTCATTATCTTATTCATAATACTATTGTTTAAAGGGAGTGCCCTGCTGCAAAAGGAAAGAGAAAGCGTGTCTCACTTTGCCACGATGGCTGTTAACTTTGCTGTTGGGAAGCTCTTTTTACAAATTTTATCGTGGATAATTAGTATGGCTGGGAAAGCCCTAGGTCTATGGCTGCAAGAGAATGGAACTGCTGTCTTAGTCATTCTGTGGAGATGACTTTTAAACACTGGAGTGGCACTTTCTAAAAAGCTCTGTCTCTGGCTCTCTCCCTCTCTCGATGCCCCCCTTCACTCTAACTGACCTGCAGCTTGAGGGTAACTGGTAAGCCAGGTGCTAATTTTTTTTTAACTAGTCAAGGAATAGACAGGAAATGGAAAATTAGCTCTTTTGATCTTAGGAGAATTGTTAGTGGTCAGAACCTTGTTCTTTAGTTCCCAGACTAAATATCCTTAAATTTTAGTGTATAAAACACCACAGATTAGAACAGAAAAAGAAATATGCTTGTAGATGCCCTAATCTGTAATGGAAGAAGCATTAACAAAAGCAAAATAAAGAAGTTTGTGTGTGTCTGTACTGCTATGGCTATGATGGGTTTTTTTTAATGTTCTGAAGTTGTTCTGCTTTGTAAGAAAAAAAAATGTTTGTGGCTGCCTTAAGGACAATTTGTTTAACAGTAGGAGTAATTGCAGGGAAAATGGAAAGAGTGACTGGAGGTATTTACTCAGATGTTAGTGTAGGTGTGGGGGCCGAAAACTCAGTGTGGGAACAGTGGGCTGCTTTTCTTGGTATCTCAGTCTATTTGATGACCATCAAATTTCCCAGCTCGCTGGTTTTGTTTTTTCTGGATGGCATATTTGATTATTTATCAGAAGGGGAAGGGAGTAGCTGAAGCAAATAAACATGTGACCAAGGTCTGTTTTGTTTTCCACTCAGAAAGCCATGCCCTTTAGCAGATATACAGAAAATAATAAATGTATTGTTTTATGATAAAAGGAAATTATAAACGTCTTTTTTTTTTTTCAAAGCAAGTGCATTAACCCTTAAGGCTAAGGACCTTTTTTTGCCTTCTGAGAATTTGCCAGTTTTTGTTTGGTTGTTTGCTAAGAATTAATCTATTGTGATGTATGCTTTTATAGAATAGGATTTTCCAAGATTAGTTTGGCATTTCCAAATACTTTACTTAGGTACATCTGCCTCAGTAGTGCAACTTTATGGTGTTTGGGAGCACACTTTAATAGTGCCACTATCGGACAAATTAGTAGCATTTAAATTTGCTTAAAGGCTTTTTTTTTTTCTTTTGTTTTGTTTTTTTGCTTTCAGATCTAACTTTGATCAGTTCAGCTAAAGAAAAACATAACAGTATCTGTGTCCAGTATACAGCATAACTAAACACAGCAAGTATTTTGATCCTCACTACAGGTATCAGGCAGTGGTATATGGCAGAATCTGCTTGTATATATATCTGTGTCTCTCAAAAACACCTTTTACAGGGGTTTTGCTTAGTGGTGTAAGTGCCTGCTTACACCACTAAGTCAGTGTCATGAGTTCGATCCCCGGTACAAAAAAAAAGAAAAAAAAAAAAGCCTTTTAGTCTGTATCATGGTGCAATGTGTGTTTCACGATCTTCAACTTGTCATTATCTCAACACAGGTCTTTTAGAGGCAGAGAGAAAGGCTCAAATCTATTTTCAGTGTAGAGTTTAAAATGACCAAACGGAAGTTTATCTTTTTTACTATATTTTCTTGGGTTGGCTTTTCATGGCTTAGTGTGTATGTTCTTTTTTTCTGGATGTTCACTCACATATATGCACTCACTGGCTCACTCTTTAAAAACTGGGGCATAATCTTCTGTAGGGACTTCCTTTCCTATATACATCCTGAACAAATGGTATGCCTGATCCTAGCACGGTGCCTGGATCAGGCATACCAAGCCCTATAAATCATAGTTTAAACTCTGTGTCACTGCCTATACTGTTTTGGAATGTGAATGGAAATATGCACACACAGGGATTCCCTCTTCATTGACTATATAAGGGAACAGTGAGCAGGGCTGATACCGCACAGTTCCCACCAGGCTTGTCCTGCAGTCGGCTAAGCGGGGGCTTGCTGTGAAGAGGACCCTGCTGGAAGGAGTCACCTGCCCCCATCCTGTCTTGTCATCATGAATGACTCCAGAAAGGCACGTGGGTTAGAGCATCATACTTTGTACTTATACAGAGCCCTTTGTGTGTAGAAATCAAAGTGCCTGACTAATGTTCACTCATTAGTACTCAGAACACCCTTGGGACATAGGTAGGCTGCAAAGATTATCCCACTTTTGAGGTGGGAAAATGCTCTGCTGTTAAAATAGTTTACAGTTTCCGGGTGTGTCTGCATTTAATGCTCAGGCCAGACCTGGAAGAAGGGGTAATCAGGATGCCATGTGAAGCGTTTTTCCTGTGACACACTGGCCCTGACCACAGGCAGTCTCATGAGAAAGTGCTCTACCATACAGACAGTGGACTGGAAAGTACAGCTAGCCGGTGATGTTGATGGTGGCGGCACTGAAAACTATTTGTGCTTAATTTTAATTGATTGAAGGGTCAAAGTTAGAGTATTTATTTAAAGGTACAGTGTGAGCTGAAACTTTTGTTGTTTTGTTATGTCTCACTTTAATGCAATGTGATGTTAGTGATTTAATCTCCACAAGAATCAAGTTGGCATGTTATTTGCAAAAAAGCAAATACTACTTAGGGCCTATGCAGAATCCATCAAAAGTTGCTCTCTGACTCCAGGCTCTGGAGGAGGAGTCTCCTTTTAAGTGTTACTGTGGACCTCTGCAACCCCTGTGAGCCTCTCTATCAAACTTACTGCTCGCTGCTGTGAGGCTTCTGTGGAAAGCTTTTCCAGAAGTCTCTAGCATAGGGTTGTGGTGTTTAGTTCTTAATACTATTTCTTTGTTGGAACCAGAAGGTACAAATTAGATTTGAAAAAAATTCTCTAAGATGAAATGTGTTTTTAATTTTAAAATAAGTAATTTTCAAAGGACTATAAATGATGACTCCAGTTTTACTTAAAATGATTCTTTTTTTTTTTTTTTTTTTTTTTTTTTGGTGGTACTGGGGATCAAACTCATGACCTCAAGCGCTTATGCCAATGAGCTAAATCCCCAGCCCCAGTAAAACTATTCTTAAGCCAGCCATCATATGGAGTTGAGGGAATTGACTTAATTTTGTTTCTTACTATTTTCCTAGTTTATTTTGCATATTTCTTATCTTCTGTCATAAACTTACTGCTTTCATGATCAATACTTGTTTAGAAAGCACTTTTTTAAATTAAGAAGTAGTTAATAAGTGTCAAGCTCTACCTTATGTACTTTATGTGTATTAATTATAGCACAGACATTATTGCTTCCTATTTTTACTAATGAAGAAACTAAGCACAGGTAGTTTAGCTAACTTGTCCCGAGTCACACACAGCGAGGTGGTAAAGGTGAGCCTCAGATACAGGTGCAGTGATTGGTGGGCTCCTAACCATCATATAAGCTGTGTCTATAGAGATACGTTAATGTTTTTAAAAGCAAACTATTTTTTTTAGAACTACTCTGATTCTGTCAGGGTCAGTAATTCCCCCAGATTCCCAAGGAATCATTATCTCTTCATGCCTGGAAACTCAGGTTCTACCTTATGCTAAACTGTGGTAACTGGAAGTTCCAAAGGTCACTGACACCCTCTGAGTACAGCCCTGTGAGCACAGCTGTGCACTGGGTGAGCACAGTTTTGGTGTAAACCCCCCTTCTAAGAAACTCTCTTCAATTCCTTCCGAATGTAAATCTGTTTCTCTTTTGCTGTCCTCTATAGTCCCCGTAAGGATAAAATCTTTTTGAAAGTTCACTGCAAAGTTACCTTAGAGTGTGGCTTAGATTAAGTGAATATATTCTAAAGTTGTCTCAATTTTTCTTTAAGAATCTGTCCTGTGAAGCAAATAGTTCTGGTTCCATGTAAGTGGAAGGGTTCCAAATCTATGGATTTATGGGGTTGGAAGCACTTTTTAATTCTGTCAGTCTTGTAGTATATAATGAAGGAATTCTGTCCAGGCTGAGTGACCTTCAGAATGTCGTATAAACATTCCACTCACATAAAGCAGATTAGAACCAATCCAGACACAGAGCCGGCCTTCAGCGCGAGCACTTCCCTTTCCTTCCTGGTCAGTGGCATTGCCATGAGGATCGTCATCACCTCCTGCCTCATTCTCTGTGTTCTCAGGCAGCTGTTCCTGCTGTGTTCTGAGATCCCTGGGAGAAAGAAAATCTGTCCTTTGCACTAGCAAAATACATTCTCCTCTGTGAGGAGGAGAATGTATATTATAGTAACAGTTTTATTCATTCTCTGCTTCTTTTGGACAAGATACTAACCTAAGGACTTTGCATGTGTATCTCAATCTTTACAATTTAAACTTTCTGGCTCTGTTAGTGTTGTTGTTGTTACTGTGTTATTTTTTTAA